AGACCCCCCCCCCCCCGGTTGCATGGAATCTGGTGCTGAAGCAGTCGTTCAGCTCATGGTTTTCCTCTCTTATAGGGTTAATCGACAATTCAGGGATAAGACTCTACTATACTCCGGAACTGCGTCCATATGACATGGGGGTGCTACAGACAGGTCTCTTCACCTTCCCCATCCATTTCCTTCCCCCGGGAGTAGAGTCTTTTAACTCCTATGGACTCTGCAATACCAGTCAATTTGAGGAGGTAAGCTTTGGAGTGGCGAAAAGCTTAATGTTCAGTTACACTTCTGTCTTTTGGTTCTCCAGGAAAATTTTCTTCTAACATACTGGACACCACAGGGTGGCTCCTACCCCTATCCTGTCGCTGCACTGAGCAGAGCTTATTTATTTATTTTTAAAAATATTTACACCTTGCCTGTCCTTTTGGCTCCAGGCTGAAGCCTTCTTTTAGTCATGTATTCATAGTTTATTATGATCTACGATCAGCTAATGAAAAGCACCCCAACAATGTGGGATACACATAAGATGCATAAAACTGGTGTTCTTTGCCATTCACACAATTAATGATCATAATAAAATTATCAAAATACTAGACCAGCTGCTTCCTCAATGGACACGCGCGTGCCCAAACTCTTGCTACCTTGAAGGTAGTTTCCTCACAACCATCAGCATGAAAAAGAGGAATATAAAAATAATCGAGTCTATGTAAGTATTTGGATGTAAATGAGGTTAATTACTTAATTAAATATCATGTGGCATTGAGATCCCAGACGGAATTGTTTGGCTGTTGGAGCTATAGCTCTTTTTGGCGAGCTAGGCTTATTAGGTGGCGAGCTAGGCTTATTTTTAGTCTGAGAGTGCTGCGATTTGCCTAAGCTCACCCAGCTAGCTTTAAGTGGGGAAGTGGGGGATCAAACGGTTCTCCAGATTAGAGTCCGTCTCTCTTAACCACTACGCCAAACTGGCTCTGTAACTGAGGTGATAGACATACTCCAAATGTCCTTGCAAAATGGAGAATATAAAAAGACATGTTCAATTGTTTCTGTCACACCAGACTGACATGGACAGAGCCGTTGTGCAAATGGGGTACGTGCATATCTCCCTTCAAGAAGGGCAGATGGGAGACCATTAAAACGGGCTGTGGAGAAACGCCATTTTATACCTATGTTTAAGTTGGTGTGGGCCAGATAGGAGGGGACCATCAAACCTGAGGTAGGCCTTGGCCTAGTCTCCTCCTCATTCCCCCCCCCCTCCTGTCTCCAACCAGTAGTCAGAGGGCAGCTCCCTAGAGAGGACAGGAAGTCCATCAGGGCTGGGAGGAGATCTGCCCCAGAATGCTGCAGGAGGGAGAGGGACTTCCTGGGCAGGAAGGGCTGTTTGATACAGTGGAGCTTTTGGGTGGGAAGCCAGTCTGTGAGAATTGAGGTCTGTCTGCCTGAAGTCCGGAGCCAGTCAGGCTGTCGGCTGGAGACTGCAGGAGGCAGAGGCCATGTTGGGAGTGGTGCTAATCTAACTTCCTCCATTGAAAGCAAGTCATGTGCCTGCCCTGCAGACCATCTAGACAGGGTATGTGTAGTGAAGGGA